CTTCATTTTATTATGTGTGTGCTAATGGCAAAATTGGGAGTTTTCAGAGCATTGCATCTCATTAGAAATTAACTGGATTGACAGCATTGTATTGTTTTAGTAGCTGGTTCCTCAAGTCAGTGAATCCTTCCTTCCTCCCTTCCTTCCTTCCTTCCTTCCTCTCCAAGCCAGTAAGTATTTCACATGTGCTACACTCTCAGTCCCTCCAATTCTTTATATACTAATTGAAACTAATATAACATGAGGATTTAGTTATATTTTTTGGAACTGGGGTCCACTGAAATGTGTTTTTGAAAATACTCCTATAGTTTTTTCTTCATGGAATTTACAGTGTGATTACTATGGAGTGTTTTGCCAGTTTATAATGATAAATTTTTGCAAGTTTGCAAGTTCAACTGTTTTGAGTTTGACACTTCTGATGGGTTCTTTGGTTCTTTATAAGGGTTTCTGTTTGACAGTGTACTGTGAAATTTACATATTAGTATTTGCTTTACAGCAGCTTACTTGCTTTTCAGTTTAAGAGAGTCAGTTACTGGGGTGTGTGTATCTGTTCCTTATGATTGAACACCAGTGTAAATGATTGTGTGAAGACATTTCTGAAGCCTCCCACTACCTCATGTGCTCAATATCTCTGATAGTTCCAACTAGGGAATTTCTTGCATTATTAAGAAAATGCCATTTCAATAGCACTTTTTACTGTTAATTGCATTTTGAGTTTACAATTTAATTGCTAAAGTCAGTCTGAAAAATTTGAATATTGTTGTGATAGTTTTTAAGCTTAATTGCATAATTTCTAATATGATCTGGCTAAATTCTATGATATCATTGCTTATGTTTATTCTCTAGCTTGAGTCTATTGACCAGCACTTTCTTACTGCAGTGATTTCTGTCCTTTTTTTCCTATGTGGCCACATAGAATGGATACCCAAGTTTTATGAAACTCCTTTAAAATTGATGAAACTCTGTAAATTTTATAATCATTATCATATGTAATATACTTAATGGTTGCTTGTTTTGCTGTGCCTACCTAATATATCAGGAAACCCACGGTAGAGTGTAGCACATAAGTGCTGGGATGACTCCCAGTTTATGATGTCTCCCTCCTTTGGGAGTGTCTCCCAGTGCTGTGCCTCTCTTCCAGAGGATTGAGTCAAATCTGATATTGCCAATTACACAGTCTCTCCTGTGGATTTAAAATTTAGGTTCTAGACAGTGAAATATAGCATAGTTGGAGCTGAGTCATATTATTAATAGTGCTGTAGTGAAAAGATCCGAGAGTCCCTTTTTCTAAATTGAAGTGCCTTGGTTCTTACCTGTATTGGTCTGTTAGTCATTCGTCTTACTGATTCTGGGACGATTCTTCTTTTTTTGAACCTAGACAGGAATTATTTCTATTTTCAGCTAAAATAAATTGAATCACACATAAACGGAATATTTGAGTTATGTGATGGGTGTGTCAGAAAACATTTTAAACAGCCTCCTACTGGTTCCTGTTTACCCCTCCCTATCATACTAGTTAACTTCTTTACTCAGTCATCACAAACTAAGTGCGCAAATACCTGTCATCTACATACCTTTTGCAGCTTGGTTTCATATAGCTATATTTCCTGTAGAGTTTCAAAATATTGTTAGGATTTGTTTGTTTGGCTCTTCATTAGGCAACGACTTTTAGAGTTGGGCATTGAGAAACATGTTCAGCTTTGATTGCTAGTACCTTGCACATAGTAGGCATTAAATAAATGCTTGTTGAATTAATATTAAATAGTATTAAAACTCCTTTTGATGTTATTCCCACTTAACTCCTTTATTATTTATTCAACAAATGCTGTGTGTGTGTGTGTGTGTGTGTGCGCGCGCGCGCTGGAGACCATTCTATGCTCTAGGGATACCTCTGTGAAGAAAAGAAACCAAAAGAGTTGGGTGCACTGGTGCTCGCCTGTAATCCCTGTGGCTCAGGAGGCTGAAATAGGAGGATCGCAAGTTAACGGTGAGGTGCTAAGCAACTCAGTGAGAGCCTGTCTCTAAATAAAATACAGAATAGGGCTGGGGATGTGACTCAGTGGTTAAGTGTCCTGAGTTCAATCCCACTCGTCCTGCCACCCCCTGCCCCCCCCCCAGAAAAAGAAACCAAAAATGCCTGCCTTCATAGAGCTTACATTCTAAATAAATATGTCATCTTTTTTTTTTTTTTTTTTTAATTAGGAAGTATAGTTAAAGTAACTTTAAGCAGTGTGTGGAGTTTTGTACTATGATTGCAAGATTCGCCCTCCACTCTTTTTTTGGGAGGGGGGTACCAGGAATTTAACTCAGGGACACTCAACCACTGAGCCACATTTCCGTCTCTATTTTGTGTTTTATTTAGAGACAGGATCTCACTGAGTTGCTTAGCGCCTCAAAGTTGCTGAGGCTGGCTTTGAACTCAGGATCCTCCTGCCTCAGCCTCCCAAGCCACTGGGATTACATGCATGTACCACTGCGCCCAGCCTCCTTCTCGAATCTTAATGTCATATTTAATAGATAAATTCTAGTTTTAACAGGAGAATAGAGATGTGACAAGGAATGATGCTAAGTGCCCAGTAGAAATTTTGAAAGTCTATGGGTTTGGAATGTTTCCTGAACATGATAAGCTTCAGTGAATATATTTAGTAGTTAGTGTTTCTTTGGAATTCTGTGTTGTCACAATAATAAAATATGAATAACTCCTCAAACTTCTGTTATGTGTGCTTGCTTATTTTTTGTGCTCTCTTTGAAGTTGTAATCATAGCATACTTAGTCTTTAATGATCTTGGGGTAAATTGAAGAGTATGACAGTGGGCATATATGTTGTTAATATCTCTTTGGTCCTTGAAAATTGATCCAGGTAAGTTCATGTAGCCTCAATCATAATATTCTAAAGAGAAATATTTGACTTAATAGATTATTTTTAAGGGAGAACACTCAAACAGAAAGGCTTACTTTTTTTTTCTTTTTTCTGTTTTATTGTTGTTCTGCTTAGTTGTACATGACAACAGAATGCATTTCAATTCATCATATATAAATGGAGCACAACATTTCAATTCTCTTGTCATACACTATGTAGAGATTCAATCATACATGTACCTAGGGTAATGATGTCCATCTCATTCCACCATCTTTCCTATCCCTTTAACCCCTCCCGACCCTCCCCTTTGCTTAATCCAAAGTTCCTCCATTCTTCCCATGCTCCCCCACCCCCCTCCGTCCCCGTCATAGATCAGCATCCACTAATCAGAAAAAACATTCAGCCTTTTTGGGGAAGATTGGCTTACTTCGCTTAGCATAATATTCCCCAGCTCCATCCATTTACCTGCATGTCATAATTTTATTTCTTTTAATGCTGAGTAATATTCCATTGTGTATATATACCACAGTCTTTATCCATCCATCTGTTGATGGGCATCTAGGTTGGTTCCACAGTTCAGCTATTGTGAATTCAGCTGCTATAAACATTTGTGTGGTTATGTCACTATAGTATGCTGATTTTAAATCCTTTGGGTATAGACCAAGGATTTAAAATCAGCATACTATAGTGACATAGCCACACAAATGTTTATAGCAGCTGAATTCTCAATAGCTGGGTCAAATGGTAGTTCCATTCCAAGTTTTCTGAGGAATCTCCACACTGCTTTCCAAGTGGTTGCACCAGTTTGCAGTACCACCAGCAATGTATGAGTTTACCTTTTTTCTCCCGTCCTTTCCAACACTTATTATTGCTTGTATTCTTGACAACTGCCATTCTGACTGGGGTGAGATGAAATCTTAGAGTAGTTTTGATTTGCATTTCTCTAATTACTGAAGATGTTGAACATTTTTTCATATATTTGTTGGTTGTGTATATCTTCTTCTGAGAAGTATCTGTTCAGTTCCTTAGCCCATTTAGCTAATTGATTGGGTTGTTTGTTTTTTGGTATTAAGTTTTTTGAGTTCTTTATATATCCTGGAGATTAGTGCTCTATTTGATGTGTGTGTGGCAAAAATTTGCTCCCCAAATGGAAGTTCTGTCTTCACTTCATTGATTATTTCTTTTGCTGAGAAGAAGATTTTTAGTTTGAATCCATCCCATTTATTGATTCTTGATTTTATTTCTTGTGCTTTAGGAGTCTTATTAAGGAAGTCAGGGCCTAATCTGATATGATGAAGATTTGGGCCTTTTTAAACTAGAATATTATGAAAAGTGAGATTCCAGATGGTATTCTAAATCCTGAAGTATTTATTAAGTTTTTTGTTTTGTTTAATTTTGTATATTTTCTCTGCATTTTTATACATGTATTATTGTTTGTACCCTAGAACAAATTTTCAAACTAGTTATTTCAAGTTACTTAATATGTATTAGTGATGTCTACCTAAATATCTAAGCTTTTGTTCTAGAGCCACTAGATTTGTGACTATGATTATACTAAGACTCAATACTGCAGTGAGAAGTAAGTGTACTAATAGAAGAGAGCTCAACATGGTATTGGTGCTTAGGAGATGTCTCCTTTCCTTGTTTGTTTAGATTCCCATGGGAGAATATATTTACATGAACCTTTAAATAAAATAAAGTTTTATAGCTTTTCCCCTAAAATAATTTCAGCCATATAAAATCTAAGACTGCTTTTTTGTAAAAGAACTTGATTACCCATGTTTGCTTGTATTTCTTTGAAAAATAGTTAGATTTTTCAGGAATTAGAATATAAAGAAGTTAGGCTTTTGTTTTCTTTCTTTCTTTTTAATTTAGCTCATCAACTCTTCAAAATTAGTTTCTCCTGTATAATAATCTAGAGGTAAGCTTTACACTTTGTTTATCCTTTCCCTTTGGGGGGTCCAAGCCATGGTAAGCTGTTTTACAGATTGACCTTTAAAGTGGAATATTTTTATATTGGAAAAGGACAAGAATTCAACATTTAAGTGCACCTATCCCCACATTTAAAGAATTGTTGAATATTTTTAAATTTCATTACTACATTTTTTTACATGTTGCTAATTTTTTCTTGCTTTTTCAGAATGAACCTAGTGATCGAGAAGATGGCCTCACCAAAAGACATCATGTGACAGACTCTGAGAATGATGAGCCCTCACATCTTAATGCTAGTGACTCTGAAAGTGAGGAGCTTCACAGGCCAAAGGACAGTGATTCCGAATCTGAAGAGCGGGCAGAACCTCCTGCAAGTGATTCTGAAAATGAGGATGTTAATCAGCATGGGAGTGACTCTGAGAGTGAGGAGACCAGGAAATTACCTGGGAGTGACTCTGAAAACGAGGAGCTGCTTAATGGACATGCAAGTGACTCTGAAAACGAAGAAGTTAGAAAGCATGCTGCCAGTGATTCTGAGATTGAAGAGCTCCAAAAGAGTCCTTCCAGTGACTCTGAAACTGAGGATGCTCTGAAACCTCAAATCAGTGACTCTGAGAGTGAGGAACCACCAAGGCACCAGGCCAGTGACTCAGAAAATGAGGAGCCTCCTAAACCGCAAATGAGTGATTCGGAAAGCGAGGAGCTTCCTAAACCTCGAATCAGTGACTCAGAAAGTGAGGATCCCCCAAGGCACCAGGCCAGTGACTCTGAAAATGAAGAGCTCCCCAAACCCCGTATCAGTGACTCTGAAAGCGAAGACCCCCCAAGACACCGGGCCAGTGACTCAGATAATGAAGAACTCCCCAAACCCCGAATTAGTGACTCAGAGAGTGAGGAACCCCCTAGACACCAGGCCAGCGACTCAGATAATGAAGAACTCCCCAAACCCCGAATTAGTGACTCAGAAAGTGAGGATCCCCCAAGGCATCAGGCCAGTGATTCTGAAAATGAGGAGCTCCCCAAACCCCGAGTCAGTGACTCTGAGAGTGAGGAGCCTCAGAAAGGACCTGCCAGTGATTCAGAAGCGGAGGATGCCTCCAGACCCAAACAGAAGCCAGAGTCTGATGATGACAGCGATGGGGAAAATAAGGGGGGGAATCCAGAAATGCAAAATGACTTTCATTCAGAGAGCCATGTTGACAGAAAAAGATTTCACAGCTCTGAGAGTGAGGAGGAAGAACCCAAAAGGCAAAAAATGGATAGTGATGAAGATGAAGAAAAAGATGGTGAGGAGGAAAAAGTAGCAAAACGGAAAGCTGCAGTGCTTTCTGATAGTGAAGATGAAGAAAAAGCATGTAAGGAATTATTTGGAGCTATAGCTTTCCTTATTACCTAACATTATAACTTTGAAACACTGTATCTTTCTGTTTTGTTAGATCTGTATTCTGTCATTGAGCTTGATACTCTAAAATATAACTAAGACACTCATTTCCCCAAGGGATCATTGACCAAACTTAATATTAAATTTCTGTTGAGTTTTTCTTGCAGCACCTGCTAATTTCTGATTACCTTTCTGATTGCCTAGAGCAAGAGTCAATGGGAGTATAAAATACTTCAGTTTTCTTTACCAGAAAGGGTAATATTTCAAAGAGCTATGTTAACGTGAAAACCCCTGACTGTATCCAGAGTTAGCTGTGCGTCTCTGTGACTGCTAATTAACTAGATATATTCAGACAGTAATGGTGCTTCCACAGACAATTTGTCATATGAATTTGCAGAAGCCTTTTAGGGCTTTGTGTGTGTGTGTGTGTGTGTGGTGGTGGTGCTGCTGCTGCTGCTGGGGATTGAACCCAGGTGTGTGTGTGTGTGTGTGTGTGTGTGTGTGGTGGTGGTGGTGGTGGTGCTGCTGCTGCTGGGGATTGAACCCAGGGGCTGGGCATGCTAGCCAAGTACTCTACTACTGAGTTACACCCTAGACAAGTTTTGTTTTGTTTTTTAATTCAAAATTGTTTGTTAGGGGGCTCTTAATTTTTTGTTACGTACTGACATTTTAAAGCATATATTATGTACAACAACCATGACAAAATATGATTAATGATTTTCTTTTTCAATAGCAGCAAAGAAAAGTCGTGTTGTTTCTGATGCCGATGACTCTGACAGTGATGTTATATCAGATAAGTCAAGCAAAAGAGAGAAGACTGTAGCATCTGACAGTGAAGAAGAAGTGGGGAAAGAATTATCTGATAAGAAAAATGAAGAGAAAGATCTATTTGGGAGTGATAGTGAGTCAGGCAATGAAGAAGAGTAAGTGATAATATGTGAGTTTTCAAGGGTTTTTTTAGATAATGTAAAGGGGGTTGTCTTTCAAGTTTTTAAAACTTGTATTAGAATTTTGTGGCAAGGTATAATACACCTTACCTAATTGAGTGACTTTGGGCATTTAGGATATTAGCTCCTAAATTATTGATAGACACAGCATAATGTGGATGGATCTCAATATGTTAAGGAAGGAAAGAACATTTCATATGATGCCATTTATATGAAGTTTAGGAACAGGAAAACTATGATGATAGGAATTGGTGGTGATTGCCTCTCGGATGTTGGTGGTAGGGAGCTGACTGTAGGGATATAAGGAAACTTTGTGGGGAGACAGTATTGTTCTGTATCTTGATTAAGGTGTTGGTTATATGAGTGTAAACATTTGTTAAAGCCCATTGAACTGGACACTTAAAATCTGCACATTTTACAGTACATAAATGATACCCTATTTTTAAGAATGATTCTTAAACAGATAGGAAGAAAGAAAATGAATGTCTTTGTATTTTTTCTTTTCTAGAAATCTTATTGCAGATATATTTGGAGAATCTGGTGATGAAGAGGAAGAAGAATTTACAGTAAGTATAAGATGGAAACTTTTTTAAAAATTTACTTGTTTATTTTGGGGGTACCAGAGATTAAACTCAGGGGCACTCGACCACTGAGCCACATCCCCAGCCCTGTTTTGTATTTTACTTAGAGACGGGGTCTCACCAAGTTGCTTAGCACCTCACTTTTTGCTGAGGTTGGCTTTGAACTCTTAGTCTTCCTGTCTCAGCCTCCTGAGCTGCTGGGATTACAGGCATGCACTACCGCGCACGACTTGGAAACATTTCTGTTTTGACTGCACTTATTTGTTTTTATGGCAAAGATTCTCTTAACACATGATTCTGATATATAAGAATAAATAATTATGATGTATTCAAGAGAAAAATCTAGAAGAATTCAAAAAGTGAGATAAAAGTGTATTACAAAGGTATAAAAGGAAAATAAATGAATGAATGGGATGAAGGAACACATTAAGAGACAATGAAAGACCCTGTGATAAAAGGTAGAGTCACAATAGTTATAGGACTTCTGCTTCTAGTAATAGCAGACTTGTTAATTTGGACTAACCCTTCTGCTATAAACAACCAAAAAAGCATTTGAAAATCTCATCTGAGGAACAAGGTAACAAGGAATTATTTGGCCAGAAGACAGAAAGCTAAAGAAGTGGTAATTCAGTGTTTAGAACTGCTTTTTCTTTGAGGGTGTTTGCCTCTAAGGCTGAGAATCTGCTCATATTTTTGACAGCCTCAAGGCTTAGGGACAAAATTTGAACTTCAGGGCCTGCTGAGGTTAGGGGCCCTGGATTGGGGCTCTAAAGAACAGCACTCTAGGATTTAAGTGGAACTGAAAATAAAACAACCTTTGCTCATATTTAGGCCAACTATAGATGACTCAAAGAACCTATGTCAGAAATTTGATTATGATGATTCAGGTTTTCTATGCAGCATGGTGCACAGTTAAAGATAACATTAAAAGGGAATGGTAGTAACAAAAAACAATAAAAAAAGACCTAGGGGCTCTTGAAATTTTAGATAATGCCTTAAAAAATATATATTCAGGAAGCAATAAGATTAAAAATTTTACCAGAGCAAAACATTTTTAAAAGGACAAGACAGATTTGGAGAAGAACCATGTAGAAATTTTAGAACTATAATAATATAGTAACTATGAGGCTGCAGTTATAGCTAAGTGGCAAGGCGCTTGCCTAGCATGTGTGAGACACTGGGTTTGATCCTCAGCACCATATAAAAATAAATAAATAAAATAAAGGTATTGTGTCCAACTACAACTAAAAAATATTTTAAAAAGTAAATGAATGGACGTATAAAAATAGAATAACATTTTATATATATATATATAAACTAAAATGAACTATTCAGTGGTTAAATTGAACACAAATTGGGCATATTTGAAAAGAAAATGAACTGGAAAGCAGGTTAGAAGGAAATATCTAGAATGAAGCATTGAGAGACATTATTATAAAAAATGTAAAAGAAAATTATATGAGGAAGTTTAACAACACACTGGAGTACTATAGAGAAGGATAATATGATGCATTAAACTATAAATTATAGAAATCTTTGACAAGTTGCAAGCAGAATTTTAAAAGTACCTAAGTATATAATAAAACTGGAAGAAATCAGAAAATGAGAAAGTAGCTACAGGAAAAAAGTTACAAAAGCAACAACTAGACTAATAACTCATTTCTTGACAGAAACAAGAGAATTCAATAACTGTAAACTTATAATTCTGTTATATTCAGCAAAAGTACTTTCTGGGAATGAAGGTGAAATGAGGGAATTAATTGTCAATGTGCCAACTAAAGGAAATAAAGTGCAGAAAGAAAATGGTCTTAGGTAAATGGAGATGGAAAGAAGAGCAACTAAAGTATATGGATAATCTTGGATATTGAATGTACAAAACAGTTATGTCTGGTGTGGTTTAATGTATATAAAAATTAAAAGCAATACACATTTGGGAATATACATGGAATTAAAGTGTTCACAAGTCTTTGCAAATGAATGTAAATGTACATTAATGAACTTTGATAAGTTAGGATGCATGTTGCCATCTAAAATAGCTACTGACCATATTCTAATAACTTCTAAACCAATAGAGGGGAAAATTGGGGGAATAATAAAAGCTAATCAGTTTTTAAATATGTAGGAAGAGAGAAAAAGAAATATAAAAGAGCTGGAAGCAATCAGAAAGTATTACACTGTAATAAAACAGATTTAAACTTTGATAATATCAGAAATCACATTAAATGTAAATGTGCTAAATGCTCTAGTTAATTGACAGAGATGGTCAGGTTGGATTTTAATAATTGATACATGCTGGTTCTAATAAATTTATCTGAAACAAGTGGAAAATAAAAGGGTAAGGGGCTGGGGTTGTGGCTTAGTGGTAGAGTGCTTGGCTTTCACAGGTGAGGTGCTGGGTTCAACTCTCAGTATCATATTAAAAAATATAAGGATACTGTGTCCATCTACAACTAAAAAAAATATAAAGAATAAGAAAAGATAACTCTAAAAGAAAACTAACAGCCATATTAATATCAAAAAAGTAGACTAAAAAAAGTAGACTTTAAGGCAAAAAAAATGTGAGATGAAGAGGATTACTCTTATTGATATCAATAAGATTTTAAAATTGAAGGCACCTAATAAGATGGCTTTATTTATACATAATACAAATGCAACTATACCTATACACAAAACAAAAATTAACAACTACAAAGATAAATGGATGAGTTCATAATCTTAAGAAGAATGTAGCTGACAGAACAAGCAGTCGATAAAAACCAAAAAAAGTCTTTTGTATGTAATCTGTATACAAACCATTTGGCAGTTATGAAAGTTAAAAATGTCTTCTTCCATTTGATTGCTTGCCTTTTCACTTTCTTGATGGAACCTTCTCATGAACAGAAGTTCTTAATATTGATCAGATTTATCAGCCTTTTCCTTACGGTGAAAACTTTTTGAAATCTGCCTAAGAAATTTTTGCCTGTCTCCAAGGTTATGCAGATTTTCACCAAGTTATTTTCTAGGAAGTTGACTATTTTATAAATGTTCACATTTAATTGTACAATACACCTAAAATTGGCTTTTTTATGTGTGTTATGAAGAAGTCAAACCCCTTTCCCTAATTTGGAATATATAGTAGACCCACCACCATTTATTGAAAAAAAAAAAATCGTCCTTTCCTACTGCTGTTTGTTGCCATCAGTCATAAATCAAGTATATAGGTTTATTTTACAATCTGTTGGTCTCATTGCACCATTACTAGTGATAATTGGTTTATGTTCTCTAAGCTTGTTGTTATTCAACATTGCTTTGGCTTTTCTTGGATCTTTGCATTCTCGTAAATTTTGAACCATTTTTTTCCAAAAAGCCAAAGTATAGATAATATTTTCTGTATGTAATGCAGTAAACCAAAAAATAATAACAAAATTAACAAACAAGACACCTATGTCCTGTAAAAATTTTAAAGCCTTATTAAATAGTCCTTTGGTCAAAAAAGAAATCAATATTTTTAGTAAAATAAGAGAGAATGAAAATAGATGGATATAGAATTAAAATGATAAAAAAGTAAACCTAAGGAAAATAGTAAAAGAATTCATTTAACAAGTATTTGAAAGTCTACATATCAGAGACTTTGGACACCTTCATGGAGTTTATAGTCAGTTCAACACCATATTAGTATAAGTTAAGCTTAATCTAGTTTGGAGAGTTAACATCAGCTTGTTACAGTTTTAGCTCATTAAGAAAAACAACATACTAAGGTAAAACATTGGGAAGGCATATCTAAGTAAGATACAAAAAGTTAGAAGCTGTAATAAGAAGACTGGTCATTTCATTTACATAAAAATGAAAATCATGCCTAACATTAGTATAAACAAAATTGAAATGTACAAACGTAATATTGTGCCATTTATGTCATAGACAACTGATTTCCTTAATTTTTAGAGTTTTTTTTTTTTTTAACCCTTATTAGGTAAATAGCCCAACAACAACTAAAAAATGGGCTTAGGATATTTAGAGTTCACAGAATAAAGAATTACAGATGACTTTTTAAACATGGGGGGAAGGGGGAGCCCAGACTTAACTCCTAATGAAAGAATGCAAATAAAGCCATTTACCTTTGGGGTTTTGGTCCAGAGATTGACAAATTAATGTTTAATAACCTGTTACAGTGGTGAGAAGGTGGGAAAGCAGGTGCAATCTGTGCTTTGCTGGAAGGAGAGAGGATTGGTATATAACCCCTGTAGAAGACTGTTTGGCAAATACTTATCAAATTTTTATATATACATAATCATGCTATTGTGCAAATGTGTGAATAATTACAGTGATAACCATATGGTAAAATAGTCAAAAGCATTACAAAGAATGAGGATACTTTATGCAGAAATGGATCATTGTCCAGATTCTATTGTTAAATTTGGAAAATATAGAGTGTATCTTTACCCATTATGAATAATATGCTGCCATTTGTATAATAAAAGGAGGTACTAAATATAGTGCGTATGTAATTGTAGACTATTCTGGAAGGAAACATAAAAAAACAAGTAATACTTAGTGGTTGGGGAGAAAACTTTTGCTGTATATCCTGTTTGGTACCTATTTATTTATTTATTTATTATTTTTGTGGTTGTAATACTTTTAAAATGTAAAAAGTTAAGAGCAGTTATACCGAAGAAAATCTGTATGGAGGATTTGATAACTAGGGGATTCATTCTACCTCCAGGGTTTTAACCAGGAGGATTTGGAAGAAGAAAAAGGTGAAACCCAGGTGAAAGAAGCAGAAGATTCAGATTCTGATGATAACATAAAAAGAGGAAAGCAGTAAGTTTTTTGCTTAAAGAAATTTGTTTAAAGAGAGCTTAAAAAAAAAAAAGTGGAGGTAGGTACTTAAACTTATTGTCTTTCATTTGGTTGCTAAATTTAGCAGAAAATCTATTCCTAATTTACTTGTTTTACTTTCTCTATATACAGTGCTATCAGTGAATAACTTGCTGTTATTATTTTCCTGTACTCAGATATCTTAATTTTATATTTATATGGCACCAGACTCTTAATTTATAGCTTGCTACATAAACTGTTCTAAAAATTAACCCTAATAGATTTTTAAGAGTTGATTTGGGGGACCAGGGAGAGTAAGTCTGAAGTCTTAACAAAATATTGTTTGGTTGTATTTTGCTCCCTTTTGTTAATAATTGGGATCCATGTCCAGAATAGTCTGATACCTTGACAGGTACCATAGAACCATAGAATAATGTTTACAGTTATAAAGATAATGCTTTAAAAAAGAAAGTTTCCTTTTTAATTCTAGGCTGGGTATAAGAATTAAGCTGAATGTATATTATAGTCCTTTTAGAAATTTGAATTTATAGGAATAGTGAGAGTGAGTTAACTCTCACTAATTCTAATGAAAGCTGTAAGTCTAACACTCATAATAAACCTATAGATTTCCATCTTAATCTTAGTTACATTATTTTGAATTAGGCTACTTACCACTAAAAAGCAGTTTATTTTTCTTGCTCATGCTGTGTAACATAAAAACATTCAAATAATTGGACACTGTCCAATTCCAAATAAAGGCAATGCAACTAAAGCTAAATGAGCCTCTGGATAAGAACTCGAAATGTTCTCAGGCCAATATGTGTGTGAATGCCGTTCAGGGCTATTGGTGATCAGTGGGGTAGAAAAAGAGGGACAAGGCTAGGGTCAGCTGAGTATTTGTTTGTTTGTTTGTTTTGTTTTTTAATTGTAGTTGGATACAATACCTTTATTTTATTTATTTGTTTTTAATGTGGTGCTGAGGATCAAACCCAGCACCTGGCACGTGCTAGGTAAGTGCTCTACCGCTGAGCCACAATCCCAGCCCCTCAGCTGTTGTTTTAATGGCAAGTTATAAGTACTTGCACTTTTTTCTTTTAAAAGGTAGCACTTCATTGAGTTAGAATTAGTTTGGTGCTTTTGATTGTGATAAATATATCATTAAAAGATCTTATATTTCTTTTGATTTCATCACTGCTTAGTATGGACTTCCTGTCAGATTTTGAGATGATGTTGCAGAGGAAAAAGAGCATGAGTGGCAAGCGCAGACGTAATCGTGATGGTGGCACCTTTATTAGTGACGCAGATGATGTTGTGAGTGCCATGATTGTCAAGATGAATGAGGCTGCTGAGGTGAGATGGTCACTTCTTCCCTCCGCTGAATTCATCGTGTTGCTTTTGTTTGTTTATTTAATGCTTAACTTTGGTGTGAACTACATTGAAGACATTTTTTTGTTGTTGTATGATAAAAATTTACTATCCTAAATATTAAGTATAGAAATAAAATTTTTTATTTAGTCATATATTTAGAATAAATCAACAAGACTAAGTGTTAAACCTTTTCAGGTGAATAGCCTTCACTGGTTGTCTGGGGGAATGGTTTTGTTCTCATCTTTAGCTGATGTAAAAAGTGTTATAAAATCATGTGTCATTGTCTTGTCTTGATTAAGAGATTGCATCTAACTTGTTGAATTTTTAAAATATGTTCTATTGTAAATAGTGGTATATTTTAAAAACAAATTCTAACAGTTTTGTGGGTTTGACTAACTGGTGGAATTTGGTGTTGTGCAAGAACAAAACAAACCCTTGTCTTTCAGGCATCCTTTCTTGTATGAAAAATTGTTTTCTTTGAGAGATGGCTACTTTATTTTAAGGTTTAGAATTATAGTGTTATAATTGATTATTAGCAGTATTGCTGTTTTTAAATTTTTTTGTCTTTTTTTCTGAATAGGAAGATAGACAGTTGAACAATCAAAAAAAGCCAGCACTTAAGAAATTAACTTTGTTGCCTACTGTGGTTATGCACCTTAAGAAGTAAGTTTTTCATTTTCTTGTTGAAAATTTTCCTTTTAATGATAAGAATAAACAATTTGGGGCTGGGGTTGTGGCTCCAGCGGGTAGAGCGCTCGCCTAGCACAAGACGTTGTGTTCGATCCTCAGCACCACATAAAAATAAATAAATAAAATGAAGGTATTGTGTTCAACTAAACTAAAAAATAAATACTACAAAAAATATTAATAATTAAAAAAAAAGAATGGACAGCTTAAGAGGTAGTGGTGGTTATGAGTCATTTTGCACTTGGTCAGTTTACATTTGTGTTCAGGGTGTGTACTTGCTGTCTTTGTCTAATGAATTATGTCTTTTTCAAGGCTTTGACTTACATTTGTACTTTGATATATGAAATGAAAGTGAATATCAAATTTGTTTATACAGAAATAAGACTAGAAAAATAAGTTTGTGTTATATATAGTAAAATATATTTTGTTTATCAAATGCCTGTGCCTAACATTGTGCTTGGCTTTGAACTATATGTATGTTTATAATTTTTTTTAAATCTTTTCCTTTTAATGGAATGATATTCAAACTACTTACTGGTGTTCTAAGAATATTACATATGATAGCCTTCTGTTAGATTGCAAACATTAATGAATAAAATTTCCTAAAATATTTATTCATAAATTTTTCTTAAACCTTGTTGCCTAATGCAAACAGAACAAATAGAAAACTGACGCTGATGAAAGAAAAACTTGGAAAGTACTAATGTATTCTTTAGACAGTTTGGAGTCTGATAAAATTGCATCTGTTTTCCCAATATAATTGAAAATAGCAAATCAAGGGCAATCTACTCAAAGCATATATTATACACGTACAATATATAATATATACACACACATAAATATATACTCACACACACACATAATATATAATGTATATATTGGGTGGTCCAATACATCACAGTCATTGAGTCTTTCTATAATAATGATGCCCTTATTTTATTAAGTCCTTGTTATGAAATTCGTTTGTTTGCTCGTGGTCATCAGCAGCTTAGCTTTTTTTTTGAATAACTAAAGCCAAAGCCTGCTTTGAATGGCTGAAGAAATGCATTCATACATCAATGAGCCACAAACATGCCTTAGGACACCTATAACTAGAAAACTGCTTCCTCTATTCCAGCAGACAAAACTCTCTGGCAGATTTTACATATAAAATGTACATAGTTACATATATAACTATATATAATGTAGTTATACTATTAATATAACTGATTCTGTTGCATGAAATGGAATTTAAATATCACTTGTTCAGGAATATATTTAATTTTTTGGTTTGAAAAGGGTTTATTTGTGTTGCACACAATTTCTTCATGGTGAATACACACGTGATTCTCTGTACACAAGAAATGAAATTATATTCAAAACAAATAAGTTTCTTTGCAGTTACTAAAAATTATGACTACAGAAAATAAATCAATACTGTAAAACTAAGAAAGTACTATTAATTTGCCTTGTTAGTAGGTAGGTGTAAAGGAAACGGCAAAGAAATTTAAATATCAATAGTCATTGGAATAATTTTTCTGCCAGAAATACTATATTCTCCTTTATGTCCTGCAAAGAATAGCACAATTCTAGGTTCTCTATCACCTGAAACTGAGAATCACTATTCTTATGGATTGAGCGTTATATTTTTAGTTGCAATAATTGCAGTTCATTGTTCCTCTTATGTGTACCATTCAGTCAACATTAATCTATCTTGTGTAATTTGAGTTTATTTTGTTTTGTTGTTAGCAAGTCATCTTTACTGTCAAGCCTGTATGTTTATGGGAAATAGAAACTAAATTTCATACAACTTTTGAAATTATATATTTAGTATATATTCAATATATACCAATATATAGTATATAATAATATATGCATATAAAAGCAAGTTTTGGAAACATCACTAAATATGTAAGGAAAGTCAGAGAGATACAGTGGAACTGAGGTTTGTAGGTTTGAATTATTACTAATATTATCACTATTACCACCATCATTATCATCATCAACATCATTATTATTTCAGGCAAGACCTTAAAGAGACGTTTATTGATAGTGGTGTGATGTCTGCCATCAAAGAATGGCTATCACCTCTGCCAGATAAGAGTTTGCCAGCACTAAAGATTCGGGAGGAGCTGTTGAAGATTTTGCAAGAGGTTAGTGGCCTGTAATTTACCAAGAGGTTAATGGCAGAAACTATTTGTTCTTCATTAATTATCTAAGGTTTGTATTGTCTTGGCTTCTTTATTTTACCATGAATTTATTTTTGCTTTGCTACAGCCTGCCAGAAAAAAGGTTGGGGAAAAAAGGAACATATATAATAAAATGAACATTAAAAAAAGACCTTATATTGAAGGAAAAAGATCTTGAGGTACCTAGGTGTATATGAGAAGAGTAGTCCATTAATGGACATGTTCTGGAGAGGCACTTGAAATAGAGCACCAAATTCAGAGTCATATGAACTTGCATTGGACTCTTAAGCTGGGTCCCCCTTATGTGGCTGTGACACCTTGGGCAAGCTACTTAACTACTGCAGAAATTCTCGAGAAACCTTCTACATGTGAAACACTGTGCAAGGTGCTTTATATATGTATTGATTGGCTCATTGATTTCTCAACAATAAACTGAAAGGTAGGTATATTGTCTCCATTTTACAGATGAGGAAATTAGACTCAGAAGTTAAATGACTTGTCCAAGGTCACATACCTAGCAGGTGGCTGTGCTTGAATTCAGTCTTAGGTCTGTCTCTTGGCTTCTGAGGCCTGTGCTGACTCCTATACAAAACAGCTAACCTCTAAGTATGTTAGTTCATACTTTGTCACACTGTTAGATTTTACTTGAACTTAGTGGTAACACTAAACTCCCAACTTATGATTTGAATTCAAAGGATCTATGTTCAGTGCCTGTGGAGCCTGAAAATAGAATTTTTTATTTGTTTTAAGGAACCAGGTCTTAAAAGTCCTCTAGAATAGATTAGCAAGCCTCCTAGCTTCTGCGTGATTAATTTTTGTGTGTTTATGTTCCCCCAGCTACCTAGTGTGAGCCAGGAGACCCTGAAGCATAGTGGGATTGGACGAGCAGTGATGTATCTCTATAAACACCCCAAGGAATCAAGGTCCAACAAGGACATGGCAGGGAAATTAATCAGTACGTAAATTTTGCTTTTTATTGTTTTTATGTCTATATGTGGAGAGTCATGTATGTAACTATGTATTTTTTTACCAGTATTTATTTAACATGAGTCAGTAAGGTGGTGGAATAGAAATTTTTTTAATAACTTCTTATAGGACTAGATTTTTTCTCTTATACTAAAAATCCTTCTTAGTATTTTTAAATATGCTATCCAGTATTAAATACAGCAAGTAAAAGTATACATTTTCTAGTCATGGATCAAGAGTGTGGAGAGAGGGGAGTGTTGAATGCAAGCCCTTGAGTTAGCCACACCTGGTTCATTTCATGGATTGATATCTGACTACATTTCTTTAGCTGGTGATTTCAGCTCCAAGTTTGGTCTCCTCCTCTGTAAAATTGAGATAATTATGTTTTCTTTGAATTATTGTGAAGATTAAATGGGGGATATATATATATGTATGTGTGTATATATATATATATATATATATGTATGTATGTATATATATGTGTATATATGTGTGTATATATGTATGTATATATATATGTATGTATGTATGTATATATATATATAAAAATATAAAGCCCAGTGATTAGCACATAGTCAAGAACTACTACCCACTGCATTATTGTTACTTGCATAATGGTCTCCAAAGTTGTTTCCATGTTCTTATTTTTATAATGCCAGAAAAATCCAGAGGCTAACTGAAATACACTTGTCATCAAGTGCCATATTGTGTATGAAATCCTTCAATTTTAAGTCTGAAGTCCATGTGTGTTTTTGTTCTCAACTCTTCCTGTATTCCACATTGGAAAGGAATTTAAGTAATTCTGTATTTGGATATAGTATTTGTGTTTCTGTTGAATTTAAGATTATCAAAGATTATTAGATTAGAGAAATATAAATTTATTTCATAAACCAGAAACATTACTCTCTTTTGTGTTAATAATAATACACAGTTTACTTCCTATTGAATAATAAGCTTTTGATTGCTCCTAAGCAGTGATCCATGACTTTTATTTCCCCTAGACAGAAGCACAATATTTCCTCTGGTGTCCATGACTTACTACAACAGTGGTTCTGTTTCTAGGATTGAGGTATCGGGGGCAGTTTCTGAAGATAATCTAAACCCCTTGAGAATTCCTGCTTCCTTCAAAGTGTGTCAACACTTATTCTGGCTGTAAAAGGTCCTTTCTGGTTTTTGTAGTGTACTAATGCAGCAATAAGCTACATTATGTTCAGAACAAAAACATCAGTTGATGCCTCTGGACATTTACTGACTGAGCAGTGAGCATATATTAGTTTTCTTATGGTCACCTACACCTGTCATATTAGAATGTAATTTTAAAATATTTAGACCATTTTGACAGGTAATAAGGGAGCCTTATTTCAAGATACTATTTTTCAGTGGAGTAAACTTTAGAAATTAGACTGCCTTTTTAAAATAAACATTTTTTAAGAAAGAAAATTGTTATCAACCCAGGTGATTAATGATAGTTCCTTTCTTTAATTTCCGTGGTTACTAAATAAACTGGTCCTGTTATACTACTTTTCTGAATTGACTAGCCTTAGTTTAAATACTAGAATCATGTAGTCTTTATCCTGAAAGTGGTCTGGGATAATGGGGTCATTAAGAAAAAGAATATTCTGGCTAAGCACATATGTCAGGAGGCTAAGGCAAGAAGAACACAAGTTGGAGGCCAGTCTGGGCAACTTAGCAAGACTGCATCAAAATAAATAAATGGGGATGTATCTTAGTATTAGAGCAATCCTGGGTTTAATTCCCATTATAGGAAGGGAAATAGAAAAAAAAGAAAATAAAAAGAATATTGTGGGCTGAGGTTATAGCTTAGTGGTCGAACATCTGCCTAGCATATACAAGGCCCTGGGTTTGATTCCCAGCACAACACACACACACACACACACACACACACTCACACTCTAAATACCTAGACTGTTGAATTATATGAGTGTGTGATTATTTGAAAGCCTACTAGAAAAAAATGTTATTTTGTGTACTAAATTTTTTTTTTCTTTTTCTAGATGAATGGTCTCGTCCTATATTTGGCCTTACCTCAAACTATAAAGGAATGACAAGAGAAGAAAGGGAGCAAAGAGATCTAGAACAAATGCCTCAACGACGAAGAATGAACAGGTATGAGGGAACAGGTATGAGTAAGTGGAATAACTGTTAATGTTACCAGTACCTGGTAAATAAGATCATGAGGATCTTAGGGTCATCTGTAAGATTTTGTCTTTCAGCTTGTTGCATTTGAAAAGAAAATACATAGTTCATAATATCCTTATAGTTTAAATGTGATAGCATCTGGTAAGAGTCTCCTCCCTCACATAAGACCTTTTTTGGAATAGTCTCCAAAAGTATGGCCTGGAGATTCCAACCACTTACAGGAAACAACTTCCTGTCTCCAAAATCACGGGGGGGGGGGAGAAATGTTATTGTTTCAATTTGTGTAAATGTACTAAATCTAGTCCCATCCAGGAGTTACAACTATGGTAGTTATTGCACACTCAGAGTGAAACCTGTAGGTAAAAGAATACTACTAAATTGAGTAGTGTCCTTAAAATGATTCAGGTTTTTTTGTTGTTGTTTATGCTTTTTTGGGGGGGAGGGTTGTGTTTTGTGGGCCCCCACCCCATCCCAGTGTAAAACTAATTGTGGTTTAAGTTTGATAATTTGCTCTTTTCTTAGTTAGAAGGTTTTTTGACTCTTAGTAACTTATTGTTTACCTTTTTCCCAGCACTGGTGGTCAGACACCCCGAAGAGACCTGGAAAAGGTGCTAACAGGAGAGGAGAAGTAAGAGCTTTTGTATTAATTTTTCTTAACATATATAGAGGATTTCTGATAGCTGCTTTAAGAAAAACAGTAAATGAAATGATGTTGTGTTAACGTTGGCAGGGAGTGATTTTCAATTTGACAGTTATTGAAACTAAGAAAATAGTTGATTCAGTAAAGATTGTATTGCTATTTGCTAAGTGCTAGACTCTTTGGTAAGCTTTTGAAACAGTCCAGAAGGGCAATGGGAAAGGGAGAGCACAGGCAAGGATGTGGGGTCAGTGTGCAAGGCCTCTTTGGGAGTGGCAAATAGACTAAAGTGATTGGTCAGCATTGTGGCACCAAGGGTGGTAAAAGACAAAACTGGAAATACAGATATGGACCAATAAGGAGCTGAAATCAGAATAGAAATTTTCACTTCTTTGTGACTCCAAATGATGTGTTTGAACCTAGATATGAAGTCATAAAATTTGATTGGGAATGTTGATGCTGATGGTGTTGTATAGGACAGGCAGGGCAGTTTGACTGAAAGGTATGGTACAGATAAACAAAAACCATAATGGAGGAGCAGGAGACTGAGAAGGCACTGCAGAAGCAGAGCTGCCAGGAGTTGGTGACTTAGTAGAGGAGAATTTGGTTGGAATTGAAGGCTGTACACCAAATATTCACCAGTACGGAGACAGTGGTGTTACTATTCATTAAAGTTAAGGGAAGAGTAGATTTGAGGGCATTGGTGAGTTCTGTTTAAAGCAGTTAAATGTGAGATACCTAATAAGATACTCTTACGAATATCATGGGCCTAGAGACAGATTTGATGGTTATTTTCCGAAGGGGGGGAAAACTGTTGAATCAAGAAAGTGTAGAGTAAGAAGTGAACTAACCAATTTTTAAAAGGGGTATGGCCAGGCAGAGTAGCCAACAAGAGGATGTGGACATAAGTGTTGGAACAGAACCTGGGAAGGGAATGAGACTACATGGAGGTGGGCAGTGGAGAAGGTACGGGGCCAGGGATAGTGAGGAGAGATGCTGCCAATATCTGTTCCTGCCAATATTGGCTCAAGGCTTGCAAGAGAATGAGAGATGAGATAGAGGGAGCAAAGTAAAACTTATATACAGGTGGTTTGAAGATGAGATAATATCCTTCAGAGGGAGAAGAAGAGTTAAGGAGTTTTGGGGTTTTGTTTTGGCTAGCCAATTAATCTGGTGTAGAAGGTTATAGAAACTTAATGTTTAAAAATGGGACAAACTATACAAAGGAATAAAAACAGTTTAGAATTTTTTTTACTCTGTTTGCCCCACCTGCAATAGGTACATACATCCACTCTCCATTCACCACTAGAGGGAGTTACCTAAAGGTTAAGTGATTTTAAATGCCTGGACGTCTATAATCTGTTGAATCTTTACTTTGGAAAGATGGTGATCTTTTAGTTTAACTTGCGTGCTCTCAAATTTGCGCAGTACTGAACAGACATACACAATGAATATAAGTAATATTGGTGAAATGTAAATAATATGGATGGATTGTATCAATGTCAATATCCTGGTTGTGGTACTGTGCTGTATTTTTGCAAGTTGTTACCATTACAGGAGATGATGAATCTCTCTTGGCATTATTTTATTTGTTTGTTTGTTTGTTTATAGTTGTAGATGGGCACAATACCTTTTATTTATTTATTTTATGTGGTGCTGAGGATCAAACCCAGTGCCTCGCATGTGCCAGCAAGTGCTCTACCATGGAGCCACAACCCCAGCCCTCTCTTGATATTATTTTTTATAACTGTATGTGAAACTGAAATTATTCCCAAAAGTTACTTACAGAAGTATTGAAGGAAATTACTGTGTGTTGCACATGCAAAACCATGTACATTATGGACATACTTAGAGCATGTGAGGGTCATTTTTGACTACCTGATTTTTTTCACCTCATAAGTGAACTTCTGAGTATCTCCACTAGCCTGAAGAAGTTAGGATTTGGTCAGAAAGGTGAGACCAGCCTTTGAAAGGAGAAGGCATGATTACGTTTAAAGCTGAGGAGAACAAAGGGGATTTATACAAATGCAGAGGAAGGTGGCTTTGGGGGGAAATGAGGAGTTCCTATAGCAGTGTGTCTGATGATGTGGCTAGCTAAAGAGGAGAGTTTGGGTGACTGTGAGAGGACAGAGGAAATTTGAAATACTGGAGCTGAATAGGGTGGACTGGGAACAGGAGTGTGAAATTGCCTGTAGTTTCTATTGTGGCTGACTACATAAGCAGTATGCTCTTCCTTTTCCTTTTCTTAGGGCTCTTAGACCTGGAGATCCTGGATTCTGTGCCCGTGCAAGGGTACCAATGCCCTCAAACAAGGACTATGTCGTCAGGCCCAAGTGGAACGTGGAAATGGAGTCATCCAGGGTAAGCAAGGAAGAGCAAGGTGGAACTCAAATATAGATTACCACTTGATTTTTCACCTTATGTTTAATAATCCCTATAACTTTTAAGGTTTATCTTGTTCACAGAAATCTGTTTCCTGGTCTCTTGTCTAGCAAAATCACAAATCAAGGAATCAGAGAAAGGGAAAAGTATTACCCGTGATTAAAGCTGATGATTTTTTCTCCAGACTTAAAGCAACATTAAATCAGGAAGTTTCTTACTAATTCCTTCATTTCAAGTGAATTTTGAAGACTACAATGTTCTGACATAGTGACTTTTTTTTTTTTTTTTTTTAAGAACCATCAGAAACAGGATTTACCTAATGCCACATCTCTCTCCCTCCCTTTCTTTTCATCTATTTAAGCAATTCTGTTGTGAAATCACTAGGGTAGACACTTCTTCCATTATGGATGTGGACATTGTTTCTCGGTAATCTTTATTCTCTAATCCAACCACTCTTCTAGCCTGGTATTCTTAAAAAAGGCCTAAGCCGTTTGGAAAAGCATAAGAGGCGATTTGCAGAACAGAAACGACTCAGCAAAGTGCACCGTGCTGTCAAGTTCAGCATTGAAGGCAACAGGATGCCCTTATAGTCCTGGCCCTAACAGTGTATCCAAGAGGTATCCCTGAGGAAGCATGGGCTGTGCATGGGCTTTGAGTGTCATCAGAGTGAAAACAAGCATGTGTGTGCTTTCTTAATCAGAAAAAGCCACCTGCTCTTACTTTCTGAAATAATGACACTGACAGGTCCCTTAGGGCATTCAAGTACTTTCCATAGTAGAGACTAATAGACCTTACTTCCATGATAAGCATTGTGTTCTTCCTGACTGGTACCCATTTTTATGAAAAAGGCTTTTTGTTAGCACCTAGAATCATAGTAGTCTGCATTACAGACATGAACTGGCAGTGATTTCTAGATGAATGGGAAATGGCTTAATTTCCTATTGTCAGTGATTCAGCAACATGCATTTGAGAACTCATTACTTAAATTCCTATACTGAATATTTAAGAGATGTATGTGGTAAAAATAAATTCAGTACATGGTCAGAAGTGGAAAAAGACTAAACAGTTCATAAGCCAGATTCACTGACCCACTGTGCTTCGAAATTAATAGTACCACTTTTGCTACAGTGTGCAGAGTCCCAGTGTGATATCTGCGTTTTGTAATTCTCCCTGACCTCTGCTTTGGCAACTGTTTCCATGGACTCCACTCACCTTCCTGTCCGCTCACTTTGCTATTAAACAACTGTCAAGACAAAACTCGGTTTCCTTTTTTTTTTTTTTTTTTTCCTTTATTTTATTTGTTTATTTTTATGTGGTACTGAGGATCGAACCCAGGGCCTCACACGGGCTAGGTGAGCGCTCTACTGCTGAGCCACAATCTCAGCCCTACTTTCTTATTTATTGAGAATGAATAAAGGGTAGGGGAGGATTAGTTCCATGCTAAGGACTTCTTCCTCTAGCTGGCCTTTCTTTTTTGACTTATACTATATCCGTGTCCCTTGGCCACTTCTCCTTGGTATTCCTCTTCCCCACCCCCATTTCTTTATCTTTCTCTCCTTTCTCACTGTCTCTTCCCTCTTTTAGCCATTTTTTTTTTTTTTAACTAATATTTCCTGCCCCAGCACTTAGGTTTTTGAGAATTGAAAACTGCAGCATAGCCAAGAAAACATAATAAAAACTCTCAGAGGTCTGCGTACCTTGGAAGCATGCCTTGTGTCCCAAGGGGCTGTGTGCCTGTTAATGGTGCTGGCTCTGGTCCCTCCTTCCTGTTAAGTGGAGGGGGTGGAAGGAGAGAAACAGCATGAGGAAAAAATGTTCTAGGAGAGCTCCCTTCCTTATCCCAGACACTCCACAGGACCATAATGTGCCTGTGTTTATCGAGGTTGCAGTTTGGCCTAAAAGACTATAGAACTCTGTCCAAAAAATGTCATTTTTTTGGGTGGGGATGGTTACATGTTAACCTTCCTACTTACTGTCTTTAAACCACCTAGCCAGTTTCCCTGATCAGAAAGGTTTCTTGTACATTCACTCAAGGATCACATTGCATAGACACTAATGAGTATGTCCAAGAAGAAAACTAGAGTAAGTAAATGACTTTCAAATGAAACTTTTTATATTCAATATAATTTTTATTTTTGAGGTTATATAGTAAATATAAAACACTACAGATTAACCTCCATTCCCAAAGTTCTGCTCTTCACTAAGTCATTACTACTATTAACAATTTGAGGTTTTAAATGTACTTCCAGTTATGCCTCAAAACTTAGTTTTTATAATTGTAGAATAATTTGAGGTAATAATAAGAAAAATCTCTCAAAGTCTAACCATTTCAAAATACTTTGATAATATTTGTTACCTTTTTTTTTCATATATACTTTAATCAAAATTGTGCTGCATATAATTTTGGTCATTTTCCCTCATTTAAACAACCTTGTAGATTTATCATTTTTAATGGCTGCAGAATGGTCTGTGACCATTGTGTGAATATATGAGTTTATTCACTTCTCTAGAGCTTCTGATTTTTTTTTTCACTCTTGAGTAATTCAAAAACCTGTCCTATACTAATTTTTGTGTTTGTTTTATGGGGTGCTTTTAAAAAATAACATTAAAATTGCAGAAGCAATGCATGTTTTTGTAGACTTTTAAAAATACAGAAAATAAGTAAAATTAACGTCACCTTAATCTTGCCACATCTTAATATTAACACTTTGATTATTTCTTTTGGTCATTTTTGTGTACATGCATAAACATTATCACTGTGTTCTTTTTTTTATTTAATTCAAGCAACAATGTGATCATAATTTTTTTCTACTTTATTGACTTTGGTTTGCCTTTTACTTGACATGGTAAAATTTCATTTGACTAAATATTCTTCAGTGATATAATATAGAGTTGATATACAGTTGTGCCATAATTTTTAAGCAAAACTACCTAGTTTTGTAAGCTGTGCCCCCCCCCCCCCATAAAACAGTACAGTATAGATTTATAATATCCTGAGGAAATGTGGGATAGAGGTGATGAAATCAGGAAGGGACCTCACTGAATGTGTCATGTTAGGTGCTGGGTGGTTCTTTGTGTTTTCAGGCTTAGGGTGAGGTAACTAAGCATCTGCCAGCTACATACATGTTATAACAAAGAGTCACTTGGCACTGGCTTGAGAGTGTCCCTGATGCTGAGGCTAAACAGATTAATGAAGGTACAGATGTTAAAGAACATCCTGAGAGTGGGCAAAGAAAAGTCCACCTTGAGGATTGTAGTCTCAATATTTCCCTTTCTCTCATCTTGGAGATTTTTGTGGACTGCAGCAAAATTAAGACACAGTCAACAACAATTTTAATTTTGATTGAGAGGTGTTCTAACACTGTTGTGAATACTTGATCTGTTCCTGAGGTCACCAAAGTGTTTTCTGATTATTCTAGAGCTGGGAGTCCCTTTGACTGCTAATTTTCAGATATAAGAAAATGAAAGATAAAACTAAGGGTAGGTATTACAATAATTTGCTCTTTAATTTTTCCCCCCACTCTTAGTTTCAGGCAACTTCCAAGAAAGGTATCAGTCGACTGGATAAACAGATGAGAAAGTTCACAGATATCAGGAAAAAAAGCAGATCTGCACACGCTGTGAAAATCAGCATTGAGGGCAATAAAATGCCATTGTGACCTTGCCTGGGATGTGTCTTCCATCTCTTCTTTAAGAAATGCACAATGAACTCTTTGGAGAAAGAAGATATTTTAAAATTTTTTTAGTGTGTCTGTAAATGGTTTGGCTTGTATCAAATGTTGTCATAGGATTCACATTTCTTTCAGTTGTATTTAAAACTGTTGTGTACTTTGTACAGAAGAATACTAGTCATACTTCTAAAAATTTTAAATAATAAAATTTCATTCTGGTTTTGGGGGGCTGTTTCTTTATTGTCTTAGAAGATACATTTTCTGTGGGAGCAAAAATTGGTCCATGTTGAGTGAAAAAAATCTTAAGATACACCTTCAAAGTTCAGTCCTATCTGACTATGGTATGAGGAATTTGTCTGGTCTTTGTCCCTGATTCGTGACAAGGAATGTCTCAAACCCTTGGGTTTCCTGGGTGATGAAATTGTCTTATGCTGATGGAGTGATTCCTGGTGGGCCCTAGATAGTCTTAGGGGAGAGGATAGGTTCAGTTATATGACCTATTTGATTTTTTTTTTTTTAGAGAGAGAGAATTTTAATATTTTTTTTTTTTTTTAGTTTTTGGCGGACACAACATCTTTATTTGTACGTGGTGCTGAGGATCGAACCCGGGCCGCACGCATGCCAGGCGAGCGCGCTACCGCTTGAGCCACATCCCCAGCCCACCTATTTGATTTAATCATCCATACCTGCATAGTGAGGTCCATTAAGAGCTCTGGACACCTAAGCAAGCTTAGTAGAGTTTCCTGGTGGGTGAACTCACTGATGTGCCAGAAGAATGGGACACAGAATCTCTGCATTCCCTTCTTAAACCCCCTTCTGTGGATCTACATTTGACTAACAGGTCTAACATTCTTTATAATAAAACTAACCACAAGTATAGTGCTCTATAGGATTAGTACCTTCCTTAGTTCTCTGAGACATCTTAGCAAACTCTTGACAAGAGATTCATGAGAACCCCAAATTTGTAAACATTCAATCCAAAGTATCAGTGGTCTGGAGAACTCAGTATGGCCAGCACCTATCAGAATTGAAATACAGTACCCCAGTTGGAATTGTACTATAATACCAACAATATCTTATGTCTTAGTATTAATCATTTTATATTAATTTTTTTCCTCCAAGAGTAGGGAATTACAGTAGAAAAATTTCAGGAAGTCGTTAATAATTATCTAATTATTTTAGTAGTCTCTAAAGACTTAATTATGAGAGCTCTGATGGGTCAAGCTGAGTAAATCCAATAAAATTTTAATTAGCCTTGGTTTTCATAAAGACCTTTGAGTGGTCTACATAACATGAAGTATATGCACTGAAACACAAGAATCTCTCAGAACCTATCTTCATTTAAGTTGCAACAAATTCAGAAGCACAAGATTGTAAAAAAGTATATATTAGAAGGTAATGGCTAACCACTAGATGGAGACAAAACAACCTTTCAGCTGTGTTACTTTTTATTTACCCTCAAAAATGTTTCCAGTGCCTTCCAAATGTTGACAATTAAGACAGTTGTAAACAAGTTGTTAAAGATTTTCAAGTTATTAACGTTTTGGCCTTTATTATAGTAAGCTCCAGTTATCTGAAAATGTCACATGGAAGTTAAAAGTGATGGTACCAGGTAATAAAGTGATAATCACACCCTGGGAATTAAAAATGATGAGAAATTCTCTTATACTAAGTTTAAAGGAAAAAAAATTAACTAGTTTCTATATAAATGATCTGGTGTATGGCTTACTTGGCGGCATCTCAAACCTAGTCCACCAGAATAACTTTTTTTCCCCTGATTTAAAAATATTTCCAATTTAGTAAAGTTAACTCCATGTACCCTTCATTGATACTTACCACTTTGCCATACTTAACTTTGTCACCTTATATGTACATACTGTTGCTTTTTGCAGGTGTGTGTGTCTAGCTTGTTGACAGCTCACCTCTGGAGCCCCAAATACTTAAGCATTTTCTTACAAAAACATGGATTTACCCAGTTAATTTTTATCACTTGGTTAGGGTGATTCAAAGTTACTTAGTCTTTCAGTTTTTTTGTGATATTTTGTAATTGTGGTAAAAGATATATAACATGAAGTTTAACCATGTTAAGTGCACATCTTTTAGGTGCACAGTTTAATGGCATTGAGTGCACTTCATTGTTGGGCACCCATCTCCAGAAATCTTTCATCTCATAAAACTATGTACCATTAAACAATCTCCTATTCTCCCTCCCACCAGCTTTGCAAACATCATTCTATTTTCTGTTTTTTACTGTATGTACATAACTTTCTTCATTCTGGTATTAATGTCTTATCAAATATATTATTTGCGAATAGTTTTTCTAATTCGGTAATTTGACTTCTCATTCTGTTGATTGTGTCCTTTGGTGTACAGTTTTAATTTTGATGTAGTTTATCTTTCTTTTATGCCCGTGCTTTTGGGGTCATCAAAAAATCATTGCCAAATGCATTATTATAAAGCTTTTGCCTTGTTCTAAGTTTGTAGCTTTACCTTTTTTGTTTACGTCTTTATCCATTTTGACACTGTTTTGTCCGTTATGTAAGATAAAGACCCAGCTTCATTTTTTTGAATGTGAATATCTACTTTTTTCAAATACTGCTAGTTGAGAAGACCGAGATGTCCTTTTGCCATTTGATCGTCTTGGCACCCTTTCCAAAAATGTTTTGACCATATATGTGAGGGGTTTACTCCTGTGCTTTGTTTCATTCATATTGTTCTGTCTTTCGTCTCCAGTAAACTATCCGGATTACTATCTTTGCAATAAGTTCTGAAGACAAGAAATGTGAGTCCTCCACCTTTGTTGGGTTTTCCCTAACCCCAAGAATTTTTTTTACTATTTGGGTTTCTTTGAGATTTCATGTGAACTACAGGGTGAATTTTTCTATTTCTGCAATAAGCATTGTTGGGATTTTGATTGTGTTGAGTCTGTAGATTATTTTAGGTAGGATTTCCATCTCAAAAATATTAAGTCTTGCCTGGCCCAGCGACGCATGCCTGTAATCCCGGCAGTTTGGGAGGCTGAGACAGGAAGATTAAGAGTTCAAAGCCAGCCTCAGTAATGGTGAGTCACTAAGCTACTCAGTAAGACCCTGTCTCTAAATAAAATACAAACTAGGACAGGAGATGTGGCTCAGTGGTCAAGTGCCCCTGAGTTCAATCCCTAGTACAAAAAAAAAAAAAAACAATTAAAATCCATAAACAATACTTTCACTTATTGATGCCTTTAATTTCAAAAACATTTTCAGTATGCAAGTTTTTTGTGTCCCTGATTAAGTATTTTATTCTTTTTGATACTACAGTAAATGGAATGGTTTTCTTAATTTCCTTTTAGGGTTGCTCACTGTTCACATGTACATATGCACCTGATTTTTGTGCATTGATTTTACGTGCTACAGTTTGGCTGAATTTGTTTATTCTGAAAGTTTTGTTGAGGCTTTGTTTTGTGGAATATCTAGGCATTTCTGCATTTGATGTGTCATCTACAGTTTTACTTCTTTGTTTCAAATGTGAGTATCTTTTATTTCTTTTTCTTTCCTATTTTATATGGCTAGACTTTAGTACTGTGTCGAATACAAGTGGTGAAAGTGGACATCTTTGCATTATTCCTGATATTGGAGAAAAACTGTCAGTCTTTCATTATGTTAATGATGGGCTTTTCATATGTCCTTTATTATGTTGACTTTCCTTCTATTCCTAATTTCTTGGGTGTTTTTATCAAGAAAGGGTGTTGAATTTTGACAAAAGCTTTTTGTTCATCAATAGAGAAGAAGGGTTTTTTTTCCTTTATTCTGTTAGTGTGGTATCAATTGATTTGTTATATGATGAATCATTCTGGGAATAAATCCCTGTTAGTCACCATGTGCCTTTTAATGTGCTGTTGAAATTCTATTTGCTAGCATTTTATTGAAGACTTTTGCAATGTTTATCAAGGACAGTAGTCTTTAGTTTTCTTGTAATGTCAGTGTAGTTTTGGTACCAGGATAATGCTGTCTTCAAGAAGAGGGAAGTCTTCTTTCCTCTTCAATTTTTTGGAGCAATATGAGGAGGATTGGCATTAGGTCTATAAGTAGTTTGATGGAGTTCACCTGTAAAGCCCTCTGGTCCTGTACTTTTTTGTTGGAAGAATTTTGGAAACTAAATGCAGTCTCCTTACTAGTTACAAATCTATTAACGATTTATATTTGTTCATGATTCAGAGTTGAAAGGTTGTGCTTCTAGGACTTTGTCCATTTCATCTGTATAATCCCAATTTGATAGCATGTAATTGTTCATAGTATTCTATGCTCCTTTTTTATTTCTGTAAAAGTGGTCACAACTTCTCCATGTTCAGTTTTTTGAGTCTTTTTTCCTTTCTAGTTCTAGCTCTGAATGTCCTTTTTTTTTTTTTTTTTTTTTTCAAACTTTCTGAAGAACTAACTCTTGGTTCCTTTCTTTTTCTCTTGTTTTCCTGTCCTCTATTTTGTATATATCTACTCTAAATTTTGTTCTTTTTTACTCTTGTTTGTTTTGTGCTTGCTTAGTTTGTTCTTTTCCTATTTCCTTAAGGTTAGACTATTGTTTCAGTTTTTTATTTTTTTAAAACCAGGGGTGCTTAATCACTGAGCCACATCCCCAGCCCTTTTTTATGTTGTATTTAGAGATGGGGTTTTGCTGAGTTGCTTAGGGCTTTGCTAAGGTGCTGAGACTGGTTTTGAACTCATGATCCTCCTGCCTTAGCCTCCCGAGCTGCTGGGATTACAGGTGTGTGCCACCATGCCCGGCTCAAAATATTTTTTTAATGTAAGCATTTACAGTTATAAATTTCTCTCATAGCATTACTTTTGTTGCACCCCATCATATTTGATATTTTGTTTTATTTTCTCTCAAGATATTTTCTAATTTCTCTTGTGATTTCTTCTTTGACTAATTAGTTTAAGACCAATTACTGTTTAATTTCCACATATTTGTGGATTTTCTAATATCTGTCTGCTATTGATTTCTAATTTTAATATATTGCCTAGAGAGATACTTTGTATAGTTTTAACATTTTAAAATGTATTAAGACTGTTTCATGGCCTAATATATCCCAGAGAATGTTCCTTGTGTACTTGAGATATGTCTGTATTCGACTTATTAGTGGGTAGTATGTTCTGTTTATGTGTGGTAAATCCAGATGATCTGTGGTGGTGTTCAAGTCTTTTATTTCCTTATTTATATTCCATCTTACTGTTCTGTCTGTAATCGATAGTAGAGTATTGAAACCTCCAACTATTATTATACAGCTGTCTATTTCTCCCTCAATTCTGTCAATACTTGCTTTTATATACTTAGGAGCTCTGGTGTTTTGGTGTATATATGTTTATAATTGTTATGTGTACTTGATGAATTGACCTTTATTTCATTATGTAACGTTCTTGTCTTTGTGATAGATTTTGACATGAGTCTTTTCTGTCTAATATTAGCCATCCCTGCTCTCTTTTAGTTACTATTTGAATAGATTATCTTTTTTCATCCTTTTATCATCAACTAATGTGTGCTTAGGTCTTAAGTGAATCTCTTCCATTATAGGCAGTATATAGTTGGATCTTCTCGGCTTTTAATCTATTCTGCAAAGCTGTATATTTTATGTGGGAGCTAAATCCATTTGCATATAAAGGAATCACTGATAGGGAAGGACTTATTTACCTCTGCCGTTTTGTTGTTTGTTTTCTGTTAATATCACAGCTTTTTGTTGTTGTTCCTCATTTTCTCCCAAACTGCCTTTGTCTTTAGTTAATTTTTCTAATAGCGCCATGTTTGATTCCCTTCTCATTTCTTTTTGTGTATTCTACATATTTTTTTTTCATCATGGGGCTTGTGTAAAACAACATCCTAACATTATAATAACCTGTTTTTAAATATAATTTACTGTGTGTGTGTGTGTGTGTGTGTGTACTGGGGATCAAATCCAGGGCCTTACACATGCCAGACAAGAGTTCTTCCACTGAGCTGCATTCCCAGTCCTATTTTAAACTGATAACTTCCATCACATTCAAAGCTTCTACTCTACAGCTCTGCCCCCTTTTTGTTTCTGATATCACAAATTACATCTTTATATACTGTATACCCACTAGCATCAATTTATAATTTTTTATGCTTTTCTATTTTAAATCCTGTAACAGAATAAAAAGTGGAGTTATGAACAAATTATAATCATGTGGGTTTTTATGTTTGTCTATGTATTTACCTTTATTTTGTATGTCTTTGGGTTCGTCTAACATCCTTTCCTTAACCTTAAAGGACTCCCTTTAACATCACTTATGGGACAGATCTAGTGGTATTGAAATATCTTCAATTTTTCTTTATTTATGCCTTAAGTTTCTTTCTTATTTTGTCTATTTATTAGTATTGGGGATTGAATCCAGGGGCACTCTACCCCTGCACCATATCCCCAGTCCTTATTTTTTGAGACAGGGCCTCTCTAAGTTATCCATGCTGGCCTCAAACTTGCCATTTTCCTGCCTTAGCCTCTCTAATAGATGGGACTACTGGCAAGCACCACTATGCCCAGCTTCTCCCTCATTTTTGAAGGACAGTTTTACAAGATGCAGAATTCTTGGTTGACAAGACTCCCATGCTCTATTTTTATTACTTGAAATATATCATCCAGTTGCTTCTGGCCTGGGAGGTTTCTGCTGAGCTGATGTCCTGGGAGGCAGAAGGACACCCCTTTACTACTGAAATGCTATACACTTGGAGGTGGGGGTGGGGAATTGGATTAACCATTGCTTGATTTTTTTTTCCTACCCACCTGCATATTATTCCTCTCAGGTAGAAACGGTTGCATCAAACCCATTACCATCTCTGTTTTATGCTTTTCTATTGTGATAGCAGAATCCTCCAACCTTAGATTCACTGTGGATCAGGTGGACTGTAATGTTGCATGATGTGAACGTTCATTGCCTATATATAAAAGATTGTAGAGATGCTAGAGAAGTCCTAAGAGGAAGGATTGCCTGTTGTGGTTGCGAAAACACCTGAGCTCCTGTAGAGTCCAGGTCTCAAGTTGGCTAATTTTGGTACTATTAGCGATAGACATGTACTCCATGTTTGTCAGATTTTGAAGAAAATGGTGGAGTATGTCACAGGATTACCTGCTTTGTTTCAAGGAAGCTCAATAATAGAAGTACAGGTTTCCCAAAACTTGGAGGTGATAATTTGTAAAAGAATTTATCAGAAGATTCTTTTAAAACATTCCTGCTGTTTTAAAGAAGGGTTTGAACTACAGAGCTTGAAGAATAGCTAGAAGAGGGTTTGGTCCTGTGCTCTTACAAAGCCTGGAGTCCTGGACCTGAAGATTTTTCTCATAGTCTAACTGAAGTTAAGAATGCAAGGATGGAGGACCCGAGGGCAGCTGGATTTCCCTGATTTGATAAGGGAGCAAGGGTGGGGCTTTAGGAGAAACATTCACGAATGTTTTATTATGATGACCTGTTTGAACGGCATTGAGTTGTCAGTAAAGAGATTGGGGTTTGGTCTCCGACATGTGAGAATCTCTTGTGAGTGAGGGAATTCAAAGCTTCTTGTTTGAGAGTCGGCAGAGGAAAGAGAGGATTCCCAGCCCTTTAGATTTGCAGGAAGAGTAGTTTATTTGAAATTCTCTTTGTTTTCTGCTCTTTGAGCAAGAAGTTAAGAAGTGTTTTGGCTGAGGTAGCATGGAAATTGAGTGAGTTCCCAAGATCGCGTCTGTGTGAGACCAGCAGAAGTTAGGAGGTCAGTAAGCATTGGGGGTCCTCATGGAAGTCAACCAGTGTAGTTATGTGTAGCTATTCCAAGCTGCCATCTCTGAAGAACAAGTCAGGAGGAAATAGGTCAAAGAGGTGTGAGTTCTCGAGGCAGGGATCAGGTCCATCTAATAGTTTCTATTTAATTCATTGAGTTGAACTAGCAGTTCATGTTTTATGTAGATCGTAATTCTATGAGTTGAGGAAAATGGCACAGAGAGACCAAGATGCCGCCTCTCTGGTGAGTTGCAGAGCCAGAATTCCAGCTCAGATCTCCTGATCTGAGCAAGTGTCAATTTTTGTAAAAAACAAAACATGTACCCATGTGCTCCTCGGATCTTTTCTACATGGAGCATCTAGTAGCTTTTATTGTTCAGAGTTTTCATTCCTTGGCTTTTATTTTCTGATCTTTCCTAATTATTGCTATTTGTTTTTATCAAGGAAGGAAGAAAACCATGAGATAGATAAAGCTAGTTAAGGGTTTCTTGAGAATATAATATTCAGAATCAAATCAGAGGATTCAAATATAAAAATTTCAGTCTAACCATATTAGAGACGAATTCAGGATGAAATTATCTTCTAGCAACCAATTTTCCTTTTTCAAACCCTTTAAAGGAAAACCTCATAAGTCAATCCCATGGCATAAATGGCATTATAAGGAATATCATAGACTTAATTTACGGAAAGGGAGAAGAACTAGAACTGGCCTTGTGCCTATTAGGTGTTAGGTTCCTCTGTGACCTTTTTATATATTACCCTTTTTCATCTTTACAAGTAGTTGTTATCTTTTTTATAAGTGAGAAAAATAGGTCCAAATGACTGGCCACCTATAATCACACAGTAAGTAGCAAGCCATTCATGGATCTAAAGTGAATATTTTCTGTCCCCAAAGCTGTCTATTATAATATGATGATTTCTGGATGAAATACTAGGATTTTTTTTTTTTTAATGAGACATTTTTTGTTGTTGTTTGACACTGTAAATTGAACCTGGGCACTTTGCCATTAAGCTACATCCCTAGCACCCACCCACCCCCTGCCTTTTTTTTTTTTTTTTCTTTTGAGACAGCATCTCCCTGATTTGGCCAGATTGGACTCAAACTTATGAACTTCCTATCCTGCCTCAGCCTCTCAAGTCGCTGGTATTACAGGTGTGCATCACAGCACCCAATGAAATACTAGGATTGAATATATCCTAAGAGTTTTCATGTTGAACCTCAAGTTGTCCTTGGACCTTGTGAAGTTTTTACCATATGAAGTGAATATCTTATATTCATTTTTTTCAGGTTTTGCTGTTACCACTCAACATAATCACATTGAATAATAAATGGAAAATGTTAGAACATTGATAAGCTAATATCCTGATGATTAGACTCAGTGGGGCACAGCTAGGCAGGAGATTTGTTTGGCCTTACTGGTACATGGTTAGATGATTGCAGTCTTTGAACACCACCTTCATTGATTTCATTGTGTTAAGGATCCTGGGTGGAAATCTTAAACTTGTCTACCTTTGGATTTGATTATCAACAGGTCTAAAAAGGCTGGAGTGAGCCACTTGCACAGGTAATGGGAGTCCCAAGAGGAAACTTACCAAAAGAGCAGGAGCAATCTGACATCAAGCCCAGGTTCCCAAGAAGGTACAATGCTGGAGATGAGCCATAGTTCCTGACCTAGCTACCTTGAAGGTAGGTAGACTCCCTGGGGAAGGAAGGGCTGTGGGTATGAACCAAAAGTTATGTCAAGAGACAATGGAATACTGAAGTTCAAAAAGTTTTCCTTCTTCAGAACCTAGAAAGAACTTTCTCACCTCACCAGAGTAGGAGCTTATATTGAGGCACATATTCTTAGGATTCTTAGAAAAACCTGGGGAAGAAGGATTTTCCTTGAGGTGGGACTTACTATATTTGCATAGCCATTGAGATTTAGATATTTTTATGAAACAATTTCATTTGTCCTCATTAAGGCTGGGAAAGTTTCCTTTCTGCTACATCTTAAAATAGGCAAATGGACAGTATTTTCAAGATGACCAGGAAAGTAGAGCTTGGGATATAGCTCAGTTGGTAGAGTGCTTACCTCACATGCAAAAGGCCATGGGTTCAATCCCGAGCTCTACCACACACACACACACACAAAAAGTGACTAAGAAAGTAATAGTTTACTTCTTTATTAAGGAAAGAATTTAGTCCCACACAACCCATGATCTGTACCCCAGCCCTCACTGCCCCCACTGTTTCTCTGATCTCATGTCAACTCCAGCACCTTCTGGCAGCCTCACCTCACATTCATGCCTCAGGGCCTTTGCACTTTCCTTTTTTCTTGATATGAATGATGTTTCTCCCACCCAACCCCTGGCCTGTTCTCTTCAAATGTCCTTGCAGCTTGCTCCCATGCTTCCTTCAGGTATCTGTTGAAGTGTCACCTCATCTGTGAGGTCTTCCCTGACCTTATGGAAAAGAGCAACAACTGCTCCCACTAATCTGCTTCATTTTTCTCCAAAGAACTTTGTACTGTCTAACAAACCATATATTTACTTATTTATTCATAGAGTCTATCCACATCAGAATGGGAGCCTGTAAGTGCAGGAACTCTGTTCATTCACTAATATGCCCCCAGCAACCAAAATATTGTCACACCTACACATTAAATAAATTTGATTTATGAGTGGCCTTTGTTTTCCATTTTCTTTCATCACTAATTAATTGGACATTCACTGAGCCCTACTGGGTAGCAGAGAACCAAAGATAAAAACGATAGTCCCTGCCCTTAATAAGGTCACACTGTGAGGAGGAAGGCAGATAAGCAACACTCACTTTAAATGCAGTATGTGTGTGTGTTGGGCGGGGGGGTTAGTCAGCTTTTCATCTCTGTGACCAAAACCCTGACAAGAACAACTTTGAAGAGGAAAAGTTCATTGGGCTCATGGTCAGAGATTCAGTCCATGGTCAGCTGACTCCATTGCCCTGGGCCCAAGGAGATAGACCATCATCACAGCAGAAGGACGTTGCAAAGGAAAGCTGCTCACCTCATGGTGGTCAGGAAGCAGAGAGAGAAAAGGGGAAGGGGCCTCAGGGAAGACAATCCTTCCAGAGCACACCCCCAGCAACCCACCCCCTCTAGCCGTGCCCTACCTGCCTACAGTTACCAACTAGTCAGGCCACTTAAACTAGGATGGACTGATGAGCTTACAGTCTCACGAGCCAATCTTTTCACCTCTGAATATTCCTGCATTCGCACAGGAGCTTTGGGGGGACACCTTATACATATATATATCCTAACTATAACACTGTTAAGAGGCACAGCTGGAGGAAATGAGGGAAAGCTTCATGGAAGAGGTGGTATCAAGCTGGGTCATGACGGGCAAGCATAATTATGATTTGTTAACACTTGCTGAGTGCTCACTATTTGCTGTGTCTCTGCTAAGCAG